TTTGTGAATTTCACTGTTCTGGTGATCTGCCTCTATAACTAAAGTTATAAGATGATTGGTTTCTTGAAAAATTTGAATTGTTTGGAAGTTGTTTCCCAGAATTGTTGTTACGCTGAATGTTTTTATTTGGTAGATTTTGATCTTTTTTCATGTATTGATAAAATGATATGTTTGGTTCTTTGTACTTTTGTGGTTTAATTTGATTGTCTTGCTGTTTTTGTCGACATTCGGCAATGCTGTGTCCGTATCTTCGACAAAAATTACACCAATTTTTGAAAGATGGCTCACCTTTGGAGTTTGAGTTTTTCTCATATATATTCAAAGTTTTACAGATTTTTTCGGATATATCTACATCTGAATCATGTATATTTATTTGTGTAGTAGTGGTTTGGATATTATTAACGTATTGTAGTTTAGAATTTTCTGTTGCTTCTAGTTTCATAGTGATTTCTGCTTGTTCTAATTTGTCAAATGGCTTTCTAAAATCTAAATCTGGTTCTCGAATTGAGGAAGGATGTGATGCTCTCTTTTTAATTGCTATTTTTCTTAATTGAGTTGTTAGAGTCATCATTAAAATTTCTGTCCTTTTTGTGTTTTTACAATCATGAGTGTTGAGTGAATACGCCTTTCGAACTAGTGTTTCGATCCTTTCCGCTATTTGTTTAATCGTTTCGTTTTGTAGTCTACGAATTTCATTGCATAAAACTCTTTGATGCTGTTTGTTCCTTTCGGAATCAAACATTTTTGAAAATTCTTGTGTGAATCTTTTCCAATCTGATTTTATATCTATAAGTAAAACTGAAAACCATTTTTGAGCTGCGTCATCAAGTGTGGTTTGTATTAACGCTGTGCGTCTATGTATCCAATTTTGATGAAGTGGCGTGTTTATTGGTTCAGGTCCTATATTTAAGATTAGGTTTGCTGTGACTGCATTTAAACAGTCTTCTACAAAAATTTCGGGTTCTGTGCCTGTAAACACCATTAATGGCTTGTTTACTGTTATTGATGATCCACCCATTAGGTATGGATTCAGGGTCATTTGAAGTGATTCTGCGACATTTGGTATTTGTTTAAAGTTTGTAAGTTGACTTTTTGTTATTTCATGTTGTTGTAAGTACTATGGTAGTGGGATTTCAATTTGCTTTTGCAATGGCTGATAAGAATTTTTGTTGGCAGGATTTTGCATCTGTACTGGTTGATATGATTGTGTCATAACTGGGTTTTGCGTTTGTAATGGTTGGTAAGATTGTGTACCAGTTGGGTTTTGTGAATAAAAATTATTATTTTGAGATGCTAGATTTGGTCTAGGTTGTTGCATATGGTGTTCCTGTGTATATGGTGCAAAAATGTCTGGCTGATAATATTCATCATCATCTGATGAGAAGTAATTAGGTGTATAATGAGGTGTTTGATGTCTATTTCTGTTTTGTTGTAGATTACTTTTATTTTGTTGAAAAAATGGATAATTTTCACTCGGGTCTTGTGAAATTTGTGGGTAGTCCTGAAAATTTACTGAATTTGATGATGTTTGCTGGTAATTTTATCTTTGTGAAAATAAGTGATTTTGCGTATGTGTACGAGAGGATTGGGTTGTTTGCGGTCTATTTACATAGTTATAATTATGTTCTGCAAAATTATTTCTTGTAAATGTTTTTCGTTTCTGTGATGGATTCGTCATTGGTCTCTATGTTTGATAATCCATATGTGATTATTTTGGAACAACGGAAGGTTTAACCCTGTTGCAATGTTACTTGTGGTAATGTTGGATTTTTAGGTCTTGGAGTTGTAAGATTTGGTGTGTTGGTGAAATACTTTGTTGTAGAGTTGTTACTATTGTTTCAACTGTTTCTTCATTTACGAAATGTGATGGTGTTTAAACATCTTGTTGGGTAAGATTTCTAGTTCCATTAAGATTTTCCTGTTGTTTAATAGTTAAGTTTAAACTTTTATTTTCTGTTCTATCAGGTAGAAATGAATTGTAGTTTAGAGGTGTTGCGTCTACTGTGAATGGAAATACTTTTACATAGTCTTTGTGAAAAGAAATTGTGTTAATTGCTTGACTTGAGATATCTGTTGGTATGTTCAAAAAAGTGGATGAGACCAATCAGGGTCCCAAACATAATCTGATTGTTCTGCTAGGACAGTGTCATTGTTTGTAATTTGAGGTCGAAAGTTTTTTTTTGCTGGTGAAATTATGTTTATATTATGTGTGAAATGGTCAATAATGAACCATGATAGGATTTTTTGTAAATCGTGTTTAACATTGTTTGATACATTGTTGATTGATATATTTTCACGGAGTGCATTTAAAAGTTTTGAAAATGCTGTAATTTTGTTTCTTACAGACGTATGTCTAGATGTTTGGACTGGTGAAGTTCCTTGAGAGTCTGTTCTTTCTAGTTTAAACAGATAACTAAAATTATTGAAAACACATTGCTAGTAATTATTGAATTCGCTCTTTGCGGGTTTTGATGTTGTATATTTTTAATGTATTCTGTGAACACTAGAAAATTCTATATCAATGTCTTCTGTTTGAATTTGTTTAAATTAGAAATTTACCATGAAACCCACTTGGTGTACTGATCTCTTTGGCATAAATTCCATACTGTTGTGTTGGGTTACATATTCCTTTCGAATAGTGATCGATAATTTGTCTTTTAAATTTTACTTCTAGGAATTCTGATTTACATGGGCTATTTCTTCTTTCGAATAAATTTGCAATTAAATTTTGACAAAATTGTATTTGTGTTTTCTCATCATCAGTGAGTCAATTGATGAGAAATAGAAAAACAGAGTTTTCATCTGGACTTTCTTCACTTTGATTCATTTCTGCGGTTTATTACTAGTAATGCGTAATGTTCAATGTGTTTTATTGGTTGATTCCAATTGTATAGACGTACTGGTTTGTGTCTGTATGTCTTTTTTTCTTCGTTTTCCTTCTATTGATGAATGTGATGTAGTTTCTGAGTCAAAAAAAAATAATTAATCATTGTCTTGGTAATTTTTAATTACAGAGTCTTTCAGCTTGAAAAGTTCGTCTAAATTATTGGCTTCTGACTCTGAGACTGCGTTTCTTCGCTTTGAAAATCTTTTTCGTGTAGTTTGTCTTTGTTTGCTTAAAATTTTTCTTTTAATTGTTTGTCGTTTTGTTCGAATATACCCTATTGTGTGTTTGTGTGGAGTTATTACGAGATCATTTTTTTCGTTATTTATTTCACAATTGTGTAATACGATTGTTTGTTTATTTCCTAAATTGTCTAGTGACATATGGTTTAGGACGACGGATGCAATTTTGTGATTAGTGATTTTTAATGTCTTAAACTGTCAGTCCTTACAATTTTTTGTGGTTAGCCTAACTTGGATCATGTATTCAGGGTTGGAGAGAAAAGCATATATCGATTCCGGAGAATGATTGTTACTTCTCGTGACTATCTTAATCTTACTTAGGGGTAGTGATTGTGTTCAAGGGTTGGAGAATACTAAAACGATCAACAAGGATCAGGTATAATTAGAACGCAAGTAGTTCGTTAGATACTATTTTAATCTTACTAAGTTTTAATATTAGCCTGGGTCAGGTAAGAGGGGGGTCAAGTGAAGGGTGAATAACCGAGGTTCTTCACTGTTTATCTTAATTTGAATGGTTAGGCTGTTTCAAAAATTTCTATTAGTCCTGGGTCTTGAGAAAGGGTTGGGTAGTTAATCGACGTTTAAGGTCGTTAGTCACTTTATTAATTGTGAGGGGTAGAACAAAATTGTTCTACTTGATCCAAGGATTAGCCTTGATGATCAAAATATAAATTTTATGATATAAATATAATTGAGGTAAAAGTGATATAGAGATCCAAGGGAAGCCTTGATGATCTATTTTAATTTTAAATGAGTTTAATTTAACTATGAATAAGAATTAGGATAAGCCTTTATAATTAATTTAAATTTTAATTGATAGAAAATTTTAGTTTTTTAGTTTTTGATGATGTTATTTGTTTCATGAATGCTGTTATGTTTACATGATGAAGCTGGGGATGAAGAAATGAATTATATATACTAACAACTTGTGTTTGTACTGAATAAGTTTTATAATTTTGTATTCAATAAATATTTTTTCTGGATATCTTTTTAATTTTACTGCAGAGATGTGAATGACCAGAGATGTTTTTATCAATCGTTATTGTACAATAATAAGTTTAGCGCGTGTAATGATTGTTGAAGATTTTTCTTCACAGATACTATGTTTGCAAATGAAAATCTAAATTCATTGCTATTAGAATTCTAAACATAAAAGTTTGTATTGGCTTTTGCCGTACGATCGTGAAACTTAATGGTAAGTTCCTTTGTAGTCGTATGTCGTATCTTGTCCGAGGTCTTCTTCTAATACCGGGTAGTCCTCGCATTGTTCGGAATAGTGGTTCTGATCTATTGAGTCGTAGAGACATTTCAATTAAGTTATTGTCATTTAACATTTTTGAAAATGTTTTTGTCTATTTTTAATTTATTTTGTTTGAAATAGACTAATTTGGTTTTTTAGGGTCTTGTTCGAGACTTTTGGTCGCTTCAGATGAGTTGTGTTAGTAGGTTTAACTGATAGAGTAATTTTAGATAGGGTACACCGTCTGCTCGTCACGCTATCTTATTTTCGGCCGGATAGATTTGTGCAACTTCTTCGTCTAATACCGAACTTGATCTTACTCTTATATCTCTTAGTCTAAATAGATCTAGAGTATACTGGGTTAATTACGATTCGGTCTCTTGGAGAAAGCAACTAAGTTCTAAGTTAAATTCAAATCTCTCTAGTGCTGAAATTAAAAGTAATTTCAGCACTTACAAATAAGTGGATTGTTAGTTTGATGGAGTATGATTGGTTAGTATTAAAAATTTTATAGCGATAAAATATCTAATTTATAACCACTAATAAATTATAGTTTGGATCTGGTTCCAATTAGTTAGTCATTATTATTTTATAGGGATAAAATATTCAAATTATAACCAATAATAAATTATAGTTTGGATCTGGCTCCACAACCGAATGAGTCGGCTAGTTTAACGAAGAGTTTCCTGGTGACTGAGAAATACGAGGCGATGAATTCCAACCAGCTGAGTGTAATTCCGGGAGAGACTCTGTACGTTAACATGAACTTGGCAAACTTCCAGTCCAAATGGATTCTGGCTCAGTCGCCCATATGTACCTCTGTCATATTTGACCTGAAATTAGTTCAGGTAAATAAATAATTATGAATTTTTTCTAAGAAAATTAAATATAGATTAGCTGTTAGCACGAATTTAGCCTTTTGATCTGAGCGAGGCCGGATAAGCAAATATGACAGATAGAATTAACGCAGAGTTTTATTTGTATATTGAATCATTAATCTGTTAGTAGAGGTCAAAAATTACAGAAAATGTCCAAAACTAATTGCTATCATACAAAAAAATTACAGAAAATGTCCAAAATAAATTCTATCATACAAATTTTGATTCCAATTTTTGAAGGAAGTGGAGAAATTTTGTTGTTTTTGAAAAATGTCCATTCATGTATAGTGCTTCGCCAACTCCATTGAAATGAACTGGAATAAACTTGACAAGTTATTAAATTCATTATTCCAACAAATGCATAAAATATCGCATATTTAGTGTTTCTGAAATCAAAATTGCCAAAATTGCGAACTCGAAATTAACGTCAATTTTTTCCTGAAAAAACCATGAGCTGAAAACTCGTGTTTACTCGTGGTCCTTTCTTGAGTATTTTGGTCTTTCTACAAGAAAGCACAAACTTTCAACTCATGGATTTTTCAGGAAAAAGCTGACATTAATTTCGTGTTTACTTGTAAAAAGACCAAAATACTCAAGAAAGGACCACGAGAAAAGACGAGTTTTCAGCTCATGGATTTTTTCAGGATAAATTTGATGTTATTTTCGAGTTCTACGCTTCGAATCAAATCATGAGCTATGGGTTTGTTATTGTTTCTATGCTGGCCATCTTACGAAGTGATTAAACTTCAAATCTACGCTTTTAGTTATCTTGATTGCTTTGAGCTTACACCATTTTTCTATCAATATTTTACCTCATTACGTATGTGTTCATGTGATGTATAAAGACTAAAATACTCCAGAAGCAAAAGCAAACATATAGCCCATGATTTGATCAAAACTGATTAGATCAGATTTTTGAAAGGTTTACAACAAAGCCAAGATTTCTTGGAACTTGTCAAAGCACTGTTCAGCAAAAAAAAACTATTGAGAATGAAAAATTGTAAAAAAAACAAGACTGATCGTATATCAGGACAAAACACTGAATGTTCCGATTGTCCCCTAATTCGCATCAAATGTTTTTTGTGGACAAAAATTGAAAACCTATACTTTTTGGACATTACCTAAGTGTAAAATTTTGAGTCGTACGAAATTAATGCGACGAATTAGCTAGCCTCAATTCAATTTGGAACGATTTTGTTGTGCGGGATAATTTGCCACGCATAAAAAATTCGCGCCATGATCTTAGCATCATGAATAAACTCTTCAAGGCGCGCATAATTTAGTCAAAAACATGGCCAATTTGGCATTTTCAAATCCCCAGACCGGTTTGATGTCTATTGAGTTCAGATTTTATGATGTTTTGATGTCTATTACTCTTTTGTGGAGTTGCCGTCCTCTCGTTGGAAATGTTCAAAAGATTTAACGTTTTTAGAGCACTGCACTTTGTAAGATTGCCTAAATAGGTTACCTTTTCTTGAATTTTCGAAAGATACTATTAAAACTATACCGTGCAGGTTATAAATTGGTTGTTAAATTAACAATGATAAAATATTGAAATTGGAAAGTGCATGGTAAAGTGCAACTAAGTGAGATGTTGCAAGAATCGCATGTAATTGTAACTAAAATAATGCAAAACTCATTTGTAATGAGCTCAAACAGTGTCATTAAGTTCAATGCTATCTAGTTGGTTTTGAAATTGAAAAAAAAACAAGACTGCTCGTATCAGGGCGAAGCCCTGAATGTTCCGACTGCCTTTTAAGGTTTATGGAGCAGCAGTAAAAGCATAAAAAATTAAATGAAATAAAACGAAATGAAAAATTTGAATCTCCGCTTACGCGTTAATAGCGCGAATTATATCGCACGTTAATTGTCCCAAATTGGCCAAAATGGCAATCTTTAAACCCTTATAACTTTACGCAAAATTATCACAGGGGAAATATCTTTTCAAATTTAATTTCAAGACAACAATGGCTTTCGAATGATATAAAAAATTTCCGTCAAAAAAGTCTAGTTAAAAAGTCGAAATTTGTCTGAAGAAAAAAAACCCACCCCGAGCACAAATATTCCGTTACTTTCGTATCGAAAGTCGGAACAAAAACAAAGAAACAAAACTTTTTGTCTCTTCAAAATGTGAATCACAGCTGTAAAAGTTTGAGTATGTCATCATACGTAAATCTGAGTTTTTTCTAAGTTCAAACTACTTGTAAAACCTTTCTAACTTTTGGCTCTTTTGCCGTTTTTATAATGATTAATTGAAATGGACTGTACAAAGCGAACCCACTTTCGAAGAAAGTGACGAGTATTTGTGCTCGGGGTTGTTGTTGTTTTTCCAGACAAAATTTCGACGGAATTTTTTGTACCACCAAAAAGGTACTGATGTCCTCAGCTCAAACTTCAGAAGATATTGCGAACATTTTTGTGCGACTTTCGGATATAGTAAAGAATACGTATGCTCGGGGTAGTTTTTTTATTCAGATCGATTTTCAAAAAAAACTACTCTTCTAGGTTGGATTCCTTAATCTTCGTGTATTCAAAATGATCGCGCTCGCTACCATACTTACCTGATTTTAAGGTAGCAATGAAATGATTCTGACTAAACTGCTCTTTGTATACTTTGATGTTGAAAAGGCAACGCGCAAAATTTATGCGTGGAGAAGTATCGTGCATCACAAAACTGTTCCAAAATGAAAGGAGGCGAGCTAATCCGTCTACGAAATCGTTCCAAATTTAATAAAGGTATGTTATTTGATGTATACAAAATTTTGCTGTAGGCAACACATATCACCGTATGAAACAAGAATGAGTTAAATTTTCCCAATTTTTTTTAAGCTTTACACTTGCCAGCAACAATACCCCAAAAAAATTTAAGCCAATCAAACAAGAAAAAAACAAGCGAAATTTTTTCAAAACGGAGTTGGTGAAATCAAAACTAACATAAACCAATTATTGAATATAACGTGCATCTGAAATGCTAACATGCTTAAAATCAGTCTATGGTTGACTAAAATGCAGATTTCAGAAAACCAGCCAGTGATTTTGTTGGACAAGTTGTATACAAGAATGAGTTTATGTTCCAAATGGGTAACGCCTGATAAGATGAGCACAATCATCGCATAAGTTTTGTTTAAGTGCCCATTAACGAACGGAACAAATAACTTTATTCAACATTTTGAAAAAAAAATGAAAAATGAAAAGTTTGAAAACTCAGTTATCTCTACTAACCGGGCTTTGCAAATGGCACGCAGGAGTTCAGACGACGGCTGAAATTAAAAAAAGCGGTCTACGGGAAAAAACCGACAAAATAATCAGACTGAAGATAGTCCGAAACAAAAGAAAACTTCCACTGACAAAAAAATAGCCAACAGACAACTGGAAAAGTCAATGAACGCACATTCAAAAAATACTGAATTGTTGTTTTTTGAAAAATTGCACCTTTCGAATAGCCATGAAAAAAAGAAGACCTTTAAATTCTTTGATATACTAGAACAATTTATGGTTGACCTTTTTTTTATAAAAGCTCAATTTGAGAAAACCACGTCAATAAGTGAAATTTGTTTCGCTGAGAAATCTTATGATTAAATTCCATTTTCAAAATTGAAAACGATCACATTTTTCGTGACCTTTACTTTTTCGCTTTTCGCTAGTGGAGTTTACCTTCTTTTCAGCAACGAAAATAAATGGAATCTAAAAAAGTCAAAAATCAAACCGCGAAAATAATCGATCAAATTTTAAGACTTACTGATAAAAAAAACATCGCGACCTATATATGAGTCAGAACTACGTTTATCGACTTTTAAACAGTTCCAGGCTGGATGCAAATATCAAGCCTTTGTCGTCTTAAGCATTGTGTTATCGCTACGCCAGATGCGCTGGGCGATTAATTGTTCACAAGGTTCAAAATCAATCAACCGCGCAGCGCATCGGGCATAGAGTTAACACGCCTGCTTGAGCGGACAAAAGCTTGTGGTTCAAATCCGGATCCGGCCGGGGCCTACTTTCTCCCTCACAGTATCAATTTCCTGCTATATCGGACTATCGTCCGTCTGGTTGTCGTTGTCGGTTTATTTCCCGCAGCACAGACTTTTTTTGAAAGTGCAGCTTTCTTGTAAGATACCTTCTAAATCCCCATTGATGAAGGTAATTGAGTTACAATTTTTTTTGCGGAATCGTTGATTTTTGAAAAATTGTTAATAAGAACATTCATCAATTTTCTTGGCTCCGTTCATTAATGTTCACAGAATCATTGAAATTTTAATATGAAGCAAGATGAAACATATGCGCAATCTTGCGAATAAAATTGTTTACAGGAAAATTTCAAGTACTAGTTTGTGTGTAGCACTCTTGCTTTTCGCAAGGGTAAAGATAAACACAGGCTACGTCTGAGATTCAAACTTATGACCTAGAGATTAAGGGTAAAACATTGAGTTTACAATTTTGCTTAAGTCACGCACGCCAATTATGAGTCTACCTAATTGCTAAGTCACGCCAGCCAATTATGACGCATTAGCAGTAACAGTCAATTAAAAAAAAAACAAGTTTACCAACTAAGATTTCTCAATTTTGCGGACGCAGTTTAATTAGTATACGAAAAAGTTCATTAAAAACATCCGAGCCTGCCCAGGTTCGAAACCTCTTTTTTTGGTGCGGGTCTCCTTCCTAACCTCTACGCTACAGATCCATGATACCTTGAAGCTAAAGTGATATTTGTAATATAAGAGTTTGTGTTAATATCCTTAGCATTGGCTGTACTTAATAGCTGGTTATTGATCAAAATGAACACAATTTGACAAAATTTTGACCAACTTGAGTCTTGTGCGTCTTGGGAAATTTTCGTCTTCTCAAAAAAATCCTGTCACGCACAAAACTATCCGAGAGATGTAATCTAATTCTATTGACAACGAGCATCTAAGGAGCTTAAATTATAATTTATTTATTTCATGCGTACATCAGCATTTAATTAATCGTAAGATATAAATTGCAGCATTGCAGATTTCAAGTTATTTAAATTTATTCACTGAAATTCTTGAGCTCAGAACACTCGGTGCTTCTTCCGATCATGGTTTGTTTTGCAGTATTATGAGAAATTAATTAATTCAGAGGAATAAAAACTGAACGAAGTTAGATAACAAACCACTAGAGTTATCCAGGAGCTCACTACAATCCAAAATTAGTTATGTCTCGTTTCCTGTTTCCCACTCCGTTGTAAAGTTCATAAAAGTAGTTTAAGAATTGTTTGTTCATAGAGCGATTTGCCAGAGAAGTTGTAAAAAAAAATTTCATGCTGACGCGTTTTAATGCAGTATACAACAAAAAAGTACTTTCAAATAAGCGCTCTTCAACCCTATTTTAAACAAAATCGAGGGGATAGGAAAATAGCCAATTTAGCTTGTCACTTCTAGTTTGCTTCTACACAATAAACATAAATAAGTTCAGAATACAGTTTGTCCAATCACTGTCCGGGTGTACTTAGTTTTCCTCCTGTTCGTACTTTGGTTCCTTGGGGAAGAACTGGGCGTTGGCGATGCCGTCTCCGGACCGGAGGGTGCCGAGAATGATGGCTGGAATGGGGAGTATCTTGGCCCTGTATCGCCTGTAGAAGCTGTACATGCCCATCATCCCCATCACTCCTATGCTCAGTACTAGGGCCATACTCGTGTGCAGGTGGGGACTGTACTCCGGGCCCATGGGCACCAAGTCTGCATCGCATGGCATCGCTAACCGAACACAAAACAGAACATTATGAACATCACTTTCATGATTGACTCTTTTTTTGATAGAAACTAATTCCACTCGAAGATAATTGAATCAATAATTATGTTATTTATCGTGCTGGGAAACTTAAAAATCAAAACCTACTTTCGACACTAGATTTTATTCACTATTTTCCAACATTTTCACTTTCGTAATTGGACAGTGTAAACTGCCTTCCCATCAGCAAACGAAGTTAAATTGAACTGCAAAAGCATTTATAATGCCATACATAAAATTTAATTCAAGCAAGATGGAATTTTCAGAAATTTTCATTAAAAAATAAGGATAGCCGGTTGCTGTGCAAGTAGCACAGAATTTTCCTACCACATTCGTAAAAAACTACAAAATAACTTTTTTATCTTAAAATTTGCGTTGTTTCTCACATAAGCGTGGTGTGATTATAGAACTATACAAACGCGTAAAGATTTAGTGAGTTAGGCTTAAAATACTACAATTGTCTTCAAAAAATAAACGAAATGAAAACTTTTTTCACTTGAAATTTTAAATTTGTTTAAAAATTTCTATTGCCGAGAAAGCGCTTAATCAAGCTTCCAAACTGGTTTTCTTTTAAGTAAAATCAAGTGTTTTTGAGCTTAAAGGGCCAATACTACTATCTATCGAACGTTACTCCATCGTTTCACTCGCTCGAAATTGGACTAAGGCTCCAACAGTTCAAACCGGATTTTCTCAAAACTGGGGGAAACTTTTGGGAATTTTAATGTCATTCGAATTACGACTGAAAGGACTTTAATATGATATATCACTCAACCCATTACGATGATTTTTTGTGGTACCTGATTTTGTGTGGAAAAAAAATAAAAAACTAAAACACACCCGAATACAAAGTTCAACATTTTTCAAATGGTCGGAACAACAACAATAAGACCTAAATAAGTGTCTTCACTCCGTTGAAATCAAATCAAAAGTCAAACCACTCGAAAGAAACATAGTCACAGACAGTTCGAAAAGGCAATGAACTCAATGATACCAAAAAAGGACTGCTTTGTGAACAGTTATGAAAGTCGAAGATAAAAAAACATATCACATTTAAGCTCTAGAACATTAAATTTCAAGATTAAATTTCAAGAATGTTTTTGGATTAATTCTATTTTCATAAAATTAGCCCAATTAGAAAAAGCTGGGTCAATAGTCATTTTTTCCCACTGGATAGCTAATAGCTAAAACCCAATTTCAAAACTAAACACCTTTCCTAAGAATTTCTTAATTGGAGAATTAATTTGAGAATCCAAAAAAAGAAGTCCAAAATTACGTTTTATAAAGCAAAAACAGTTTCCTTGCGCTGCGGCGGTCAGTTCTCAGTCCAAGTCAATATAGGTCGCGGTGGTCCTTTTCAGTATTTAGGCGGCGATCAGTGTCTGGTACTTACTTTCAGCCAATCAGATCTCAAGTTACTATTTCTCTTTCTAAGTTTCTTTTCACGGTCGGATTTTCCACCAATCAGAATTGCATAATTTATTTGTCTACTTATTGGCGCATACTAAATGCAGGTGGTCTAATAGTAGTCACCTTGTCCTGAAAATACCGATTAACATTATGTGAAGTCATTATCACCGATGAAGTCATTATCATCAACATTCGAACATTAAAAATAATCGCTATCGGCACTTGAAATTATAATTCATAAAAGCATATCAATATTATGAGCGCACTTGTGTAATTGAGCATTTTAGGACTTCCTTTAAAAACATCATGACCTATAAAAGAGCCTGAACTGCGTCATATCATAACCTATGAAAACATATCATCAAAACCGAAAAAAGCATCACGACCTATATAAGTGTCTTCAATACTCTCATTGAGACATAAAAAAGCAGCAGAAGATCAATAGACGACGCCTCACCGCCTCAAGAGTCTCTGCTGGTTTTATTTTACGATATCCCTTTCCGAAAGATCAGCCCAAAAGCGCCATTATATTTTTGAGGTGAAGCAAGCGCCAAAAACGCAATCTTTTTGGTTAACACCCTTCAAAAAACGGAATGCCCAGAATGAAAGGCCCAGAAAGTATCAGGGAAACCCAAAATTGATGGAAACTTTTGTAAAGATTTTTCATATTCCGAATTTCGGTGAAAAACACATCGCATTACATCAATGAAATTCAAGAATGAGATTTCTGAAAATTTTAGTTTAAAATTTAGTTATTGAAAATTTAATATGCCATCCAATTCGCAATTGGAATTGAATTGTACCGTGAAAAGTGCTCAAGAGAAAAAAGCAAGCAAAAAACCTCTAAATCAGTGAAAATATCAATCATCCGGAAAATATCATCTCTCAATACGATGGAAAGTTATAATAACATATACAAAGATTTCAGACGAACTAAAATTAGTAAATGATGAATAGCAAGAAACATGGCCCATCTGACGGCGCAATAATATTTGCAAAGTTCAAGAAATTCTTAATTTAGAAGCAATCCAACTTAACGAGATTTGAATCAATAATCGAAAAAAAAACATAACGCCTTTAATAAGAAGAACGAAACTTGAAACCTAATAATAATTTGATTTTTCACTTCCGGAAAAAATTCAGTTAAACGAGCTTTGAATAACGAATCAAATGGACAATTATCATCACTTATACAAACATTTCAAAAAAAACTACTCATTTGAACCCCCAAGAAAATCAAGAAAGCTCAAGCTATTCAAATTTTTCTCAACCATTGCAATTTCATTTAAAACCTATTCAACTTGACGAGATTTAAGTCAGGATACAAAACGAAAACATACCATCAGTTAATCACATGAGCGAGACCTGAAATTTCTCCTAGGAAATTGTCAATTCCTAGAAAATTTTCAGCATTAGGATGTAAAACTAAGAATCAAATGGAAAGTTAAAAGCACAGCAGCAAAAAAAATTCAGCTGAACTAAAATTAATAAATGACTAGCGTGTAACGCACCTCCGGTGCTTCGAATTTATGACAACTCACAAATTGCATATATTGGAAATATTTGCATCCTTTGAGGTTTACTCTGACTGCACCCAATTATAGGGTTGATAATTTCAAATTTTGTATTCAATTTTTTTGTACACTTTTTTATATCTAAGTTGGTTGAAAGATTTTAAAATGACAAAAAACGTCACATCTCGGAAACGAAAAGCAATTGAGCAGTCACATTTGGACGCAAGACGTGTAACTTCTTATGTTCGGAGAGTACTGACAATACCCAACTACAGGGTTGAGAACTTCAAATTTTGAGAAACTTGAATTGACGTTTTCTAATTTTTAAAAAAAAAATCAAGAAAAACGCCTCATCTCGAACTACAAAAACTTGAGCACTCGAGTTTCCTAAAAACGTTTTAAAAAATCACAAAAACTCCATATGTCGAACACTACAATGATTTGAGCAGCCATATTTGGATGAAAAAGTAGCAACTCCGGGTAGTACCCTGACATAGCATCACTATAGATATTGAAAACTTCAATTTTGTGAAATGTTCTATATCTAAGTTCTTTGAAAAAATCACAAAAAACGTCATATCTCGAGAAATACAAGGATTTGAGCACTCATATTCAGAGGCAAGATTCAATTCGCAAGCCCTGAAAATACTCTAACAGTTTCTAGTTACAAGATTGAGATACTCAAAGTTTTTGAATTTATGTAAATCTAAGTTTTTTTGAAAAAATCATAAAAAACGTCATATCTCGAAAACTAGAAGTATTTGAGAACTGAGATTTGGAGGCAAGATTCGCAATTCCTGAGAATACCCTGACAGCACCCAACTACAGGGATAAAATTTTGAAAATTTTTTAAATTGAAGTTTTCTAGGAACTTTTGAAAAATCTCGAAAACTGACGTATCTCGTAACCTAAAAGGATTAGGTTATTCAAACATGGAGGCCAAAATCGCAAAATCTAAGGAAGCCCTGACAGCATCCCAATGTTGGGTTGCTAATTTCAAACTTGGTGAAATAAACACTGAATTAGCTTAAACGTGAAAAAAAATCTTTTGTTTAACATCCAAAAATATTACGTTGAAAACGCTTAAACATTGCGAGATGGTGAAACCCGCATTTAAATATATAATAGATGAATCACAAGAAACATAAGAAAGCCCAATTTGAAAGCCCAAGTGTATCAACAAAATTTAAGAAACTTCAAACTTTTCAAACTATTTGAATTAGCATTCAGAAATTATTCAGCTTAACGAGATAAGAACCAGACATCGAAACATAAACATATCAATTAACGAGATGAAAACAAAAAGAAATCATGTCATTTGAACTTCGCTAATAAAAATATTTCAGCTTAACGAGATTTGAATCAGGAGTCAAATGGAAATTGATTATCACTCAATTAAATTTTTCAGCTTAAAGAGATATGAATCAGGAATAAAAAAAAAGTAAACAGATCATCTATTAACCAGATGAATGAGATCTGATGATTTTTTGAAAAAAAAACTCTTGAAATGATCCAGCTTACCGAGATTTAAATCCGCCAAAGAATGGAAAACTATCATCTCTTATAGAAATAATTCAGCTCAACTAGAAATCAAGAACCGCAAGAAAAAACAGCCATTTAAAAACCTACGCATATAACCAAAGTTCAAGTAATTCTAGATCAACAGACAAGCGAAACCTGAAATCTCAAAAAAACCTAAATTTCTGGAAAAAATTCAGCTTAACGAGATTTGAATCAGGACTCAAAAAATGAACATATCATCAATTAGCCAGATGAATGAGATCTGATGATTTATTTGAAATTAGCTTCTGGAAATTATTCAGGTAAACGAGATGTAAATGAGGCATACAATGGAAAACTATCATCTCTTATAGAATCAATTCAGCTCGACTACATATAAATGAACCACAAGAAAAAATATTCATTAAGACCAAGTAAATCAAAAACTCTCACAAACATCGGAATTACAGCTTCGAATATATTCAAATTGGAAACCCAAGCATAACTTAACGAGATTGCAATCAGGAATTAAAAAGTGAACTTATAATCCTAGAGCCGGATTAACGACGTCTGAAAACGAATAATTATAAATTTGACTTCTGGAAATGATTCCGCTTAACGAAATTTCAATGAGGAATCAAACAGAAAAATTACTCATTTTAAAAACCAAGCATACCATGCAATTTCAAGAAAGCCTAAATTTTTCGCAAACATCGGAATTGCATTTAAGAAACCATTCAGCTTAACGAGATTGGAATCAGGAATCAAACAGAAAACATCATCATTTAGCAAGAAAAACGAAACTTGAAATCTAATAAATATTTGAAATTAACTTATAAAAATGTTTCAGCTTAACGAGATTTGAATCAGGAATTAAAGTTAATATATTATCATTTAACGGATTAACGAAGTCCGAAACTTTTCAGCTTAACGAGATTGGAATCAGGAATCAAACAGAAAATATATCATCATTTAACAAGACGAACGAAGCCTGAAATCTAATGATTAATTGATATTATTTATGACAATGTTTACGCTTAACAAGATCTGAATCAGGAATTTAAAAATGAACATATCATCATACAGCCGGATTAACGACGTCTGAAAACGAATACCTAAAAATTTTACTTCTGGAAATGATTCAGCTTAACGAAATTTCAATGAGGAATCAAACAGAAAAATTGTTCATTTTAAAAACCAAACATACCATGAAACTTCAAGAAAGCCTAAATTTTTCGCAAACATCGGAATTGCAATTAAGAAACTATTCAGCTTAACGAGATTGGAATCAGGAATCAAAAAGAAAACATATCATCATTTAACAAGACAAACAAAACTTGAAATCTAATAAATATTTGATATTATTTATGACAATGTTTACGCTTAACAAGATCTGAATCAGGAATTTAAAAATGAACATATCATCATACAGCCGGATTAACGACGTCTGAAAACGAATACCTAAAAATTTTACTTCTGGAAATGATTCAGCGTAACGAAATTTCAATGAGGAATCAAACAGAAAAATTGTTCATTTTAAAAACCAAACATACCATGAAACTTCAAGAAAGCCTAAATTTTTCGCAAACATCGGAATTGCAATTAAGAAACTATTCAGCTTAACGAGATTGGAATCAGGAATCAAAAAGAAAACATATCATCATTTAACAAGACAAACAAAACTTGAAATCTAATAAATATTTGATATTACTTATGACAAGGTTTACGCTTAACAAGATTTGAATCAGAAATTAAAAAGTGAATATATCATCATTTAGCCGAATTAACGACGTCTGAAAACGAAGTTATGAATTTAACTTCTGGAAATGATTCAGCTAAACGAAATTTCAATGGGAAACCAAACAGAAAAATATCTTTTTCAGAAATACTTCAGCTAAACTAGACTTAAATGATTCACGAGGAAAAATTACTGATTTGAAAATCAAGCATACCATGAAACTTCAAGAAAGCCTTAACTTTTCGCAAACATCGGAACTGCATTGAAGAAAATATTCAGCCTAACGAGGTTGGAATCAGGAAGAAAACAAATAATCATTTAACAATGTCACACTAAATAAAGCTTCCAAAATCAATGACAATATTTCTGTTAGATTGTACCATCGTTAATAAAACCAAATCATAGTTGATTGGAAATGATCGGATGTCTATATCAAAGTATTTGTACTATAATACTAAAACTTTTTCAATTTCAAAATTTTGATTGACACGTTTTGATAAAACTATCCCACTCGGAGAAAGTTTGAACTGTAAGTAATTATTAATTCAACTAAAAAATCCGGAAATTAAAACTTATTTCTCAAACTAAGTCAATCACAATTTTTTTATTCAACTAAGTCAATCACAATTTTTTTATTCGAAAGAGTTATTCGCAAATCCCTTCTAAGAACGAACTTCAAGTGCATTTTAAAAATCAAGAATTTAACGGCAAGAAAATGAGCGTGCGTGCAATCAAAGCGCATTTAGCAAATTAAAAACCTTAACTTTTTCTTTTTAGACAGTTGGAAAAAAGTTTAAAAACCGACATAAAGCAGGGGCATTCTGACGTTTAATTAAACGATTCAGGCGGTAAACTGATGCCCTCAAATCAAACGAAAATAAGACTAACCGCTGTCATAAACAGTGATTCAATATTCGGCTAATTTATTTATTCTAATTGGGTGCCTTGCTACTACTTTGTTTGCTTAGCTGTCTGACCCGTCTCCTTTTCATCCACCAACTTCCCTAGCATTTGAAACTTAATAAGCTAGAACCAGATAAACTGCAAGAACTAGCGAGAACACGACAAAAAGCAGCTATATAAGTGGAATAATAAACAAAAAAATAAGCCTCGAATTAGTAAAAAAAAAATGCAGCTACGTATCGAATTCGATCTGCAACCTAGAGATTATGAGCCTCACGCACTAACTACTCAGCCACGCTTAATACATCAGAAACACAAATAAAGCAGACAAAAGTTGTTATGAAATTTCCAATGCTAGATCTTGATCATAGCAAAAAGACCACCAAATAAATGAAAACTTTTCACTTTCAAGAAACACTTTTATTTTAGCTCATTTTAGGTTTAGTAAAAAATCAAAAACTTAGCCATCATTGACCCCTAAAAAGCAGCAGAAGATCTATAGGCGACCCCTCAAAACCTAAACAGTCTCTGCTGGTATTATTTCACGACATACTTTCCCTCAAAATTAATAAATATTGGCTGATCGTTCGGAAACATGCCGTGAAATAATACCAGCAGAGACTGTTTAGGTGGTGAGGGGTCGCCTATAGATCTTCTGCTGCTTTTTAGGGGTCAATGATGGCTAAGTTTTTGATTTTTAACTCAACCTAAAATGAGCTAAAATAAAAGTGTTTCTTGAAAGTGAAAGGAATATGAAAAAACTTTTCAAATGTTTCAATCATTTTTTGGGTTTCCTTGATACTTTCTGGGCTTTTAATTCTGGGCCTACCATTTTTGGGCTCTTTTGGAGTTTTTTAACCAATAAAGTTGCGGTTTTGGTTCTTGCTTTCCCTCAAAATTAATAAATATTGGCTGATCGTTCGGAAACAAGAACCAAAACCGCAACTTTATTGGTTAAAAAACTCCAAAAGAGCCCAAAAATGGTAGGCCCAGAATTAAAAGCAAAGAAAGTATCAAGGAAACCCAAAAAATGATTGAAACATTTGAAAATTTTTTTCATATTCCGAGTTTCAGAGGAAAACACATCACACTACATTAATGAAATTCAGAATGAGGAATCAAACAGAAAAAAATCATCACTTTTATAAATACTTCAGCTAAATGATTTATAGCTTTTGCACTAAGCTTTTGTGAAGATTTCTCATATTCCGAGTTCCAGAGGAAAACACATCACATTACATCAATGAAAATCAAATCTCAATGAAATCTGAGATTTTTGAAATAAAAAAATTTAATGAAATTTGAATGAGGAATCAAACAGAAAAAATCATCACTTATATAAAAATTTCAGCTAAAAGATTTAGATGAATCGCAAGAAAAATTACTTTTTTAATTCAACTGACGAAAATGTTTCAGCTTAACGAGATTTGAATCAGGAATCAAATAGAAAGTGATCATCACTTGAATAAATATTTCATATTAACTAGATTCAAATGAAATCCTAGAAAAATTACTTATTTAAAACCCAATCAAATCAAGAAAACCCAAGAAATTCTAAATTACTCACAATTATCGGAATTAGATTGCAGAACCTTTTCAGCTTAACGAGATTTGAATCATGAATCAAAAACGTAAGCATATCATCAAATTGCCAGTGAATGAGATCTGATGATTTATTTGAAAAAAAAACTTTTGGAATACAATCAGCTTAACGAGATGTCATTCAGGAACCAAATGGAAAATATCATTGCTTATATAAATATTTCAGCTTAACGAAATTTGAATGAGAAATCAAACAAAAAAATCATGACTTAAACAAATACTTCAGCTAAACTAGATTTAAATGAATCACAAGAAAAAATACTCAATTGAAAAACCAAGCATACAACGAAAGTTAAAGAACGCCTAAATTTTTGCAAACATCGGAATTGCATTTAAAAAACTATGCAACTTAACGACATTTGAATCAGGAATCAAATAAGTAAGCATACCACCATTTGACCAGATGAACGAAATTTGAAACTGATTACTTTTTTCAGAAGAAACTTTTCAGCTTTGAGAGGTATAAATCAAAAATCAAGTGGAAAGTTATCATGCCATAAACTAAGATTTCAGCCGAACTAAAACAATTAAAAGATGAAACGCAAGAAACATTACCCATTTGAAAGCCCAAGCATTCCAAAAAAATCGACACTTCGGATTTGTTTCAACCAACGGAATTAATTTTGAAATTATTCAGCTGAAAGAACATGATATCTTAAAAATATTCGAATTCAACTTATGATAATGTTTCAGCTTAACGAGATTTGAATCAGGAATCAAGAAATGAACATATCATCAATTAGCCAGATGAATGAGATCTGATGATTTATTTGAAATTAACTTCTGGAAATTATTGAGATTAACGAGATTTAAATCAGGCATAAAATGGAAAATTATCATCTCTTATAGAAAAGTTCAGCTTTATTAGATTTAAATGAATCAAAAAAATACTCGTTTGAACCAAGCATATCAAGAATATCTAAACTTCTCACAACCATCGAAAGTAAAAATGAGAAAGGCGTGACTGACCGACAGAGAAATGGTTATCGAATATCTGGGTGGGCTGGATCTGCATCTTGCGCATGTAGAGATTCACTTCATACACGTCGTCGTCGTTGGTGAGTGTGACCCTGGTGGGCTCACTGCACGAGTAGCTCATGCCCACTGGAGTCTCGAACAGACGACCCACAAACCTCGCCTGCTTCAAAGTCCCTAAAAGGAATGTGTCGCTGTTTATCAAACAGGAAAAAGGGAAGTCACCAATCTATTCCTCCTATACAACAAGTCGCTCCATTCAACTTCTCCTTCACATCTTAAATTGCCTTCTGCGTCACAAAAAAAAACATTTTCAGAAAACAATTCTGATCAATCGCATTATTTCATGACTCAAAAGTGTACACGTAGGCGAAGCGGAGCTTGGCATCACTTGTGATAGAACGAAAGCGTACCATAGCAAACTACTAAATGGTCAAGGAGATGGAAATAACTAAGTGGAAATACAAAAAATTCGATTACAGAAAAAGAGACGAAACACAACCACTAACAATAAGAACGCTTTCAGTATTTTCCGAGCGTCTAGTAAGCCAACAACACGTGATTGAACGCCAACCGATCCGAAAACAAAAATTGAAAAAGAAATTGTCATTAAAAATCAACACTTATTTTGGAAAAACGAAAAAACCAATCTTAGAAAAATCTACGACAAACACAACTACTAGCAACAAGCACGCTTTTAGAATTTTCCTAGCTTTCACTAAGCCATGACACGTGGTTAGACGCGAATTGATACGAAAACAGAAATACCAAGGGAATGGCTGTCATACAAAATTCAACATTTTTTGGAAATACGAAAAATTCAATCTCAAAAAACAGACGAGAAACAAAATCACCAGGATCAAGCAAGCTTTTTGTAATTTCCGAGCGTCCACTAAGCCAGCAACACGTGGTTAGACGGACGCCAACCGATCCTAAAACAAAATGCCAAAGAAAATGGTTGTCATAAAAAATTCAACACAGACGAGAAACTGAGCAACCAGCATCAAACAAGCTTCTAGTATTTTTAAAAGAGTTTACCAAGCCGATAACTCGTAGTTAGACGCCAATTAATCCAAAAACAAAAATGTCAAAGGAAATTGTTCTCACAAAAAAACGTTTAACCTTTATGCTACCAGCCGGGCTGATTTATTTATAACAAGAATAATCAATTTTTATCCATATGCAGACAACCCATAGGCCGATCATTTTTTGATATTTAAAACTTTAGCTTAAAAAACAGGTACTGAACGAACTCGAGCGTAGTCTCTTAGTCGTCTTCTTGTACTTTACGTAACCAGTAGGTGATTTTGAAATTTCGAGAAACTGAGCATGTTTGGTAGCTGCAGAATTGAATGCTGCAGAAAAGATTCAGTGATTTTGTTAAACTAAATGTTAACTAGAAAAATGTCTATAATCCAGTTTGATAACGCTTGCTTGTCGCAAGCGTAAAGAGTGAATCTAGAATTGCAAGTAAAATCAACTAGCTCTAAAATTAAAAAAAATGGAAACTGTACGGAAGCACAGCATTGAAGAGAAAACTCGATTAACCAACAGCAATAAAAAGCCACACGAAAATACAAAGTTTCATAACTCCATTTGACACAGGGAAAAGCTGGCTATATGAATTCGTTGAAACGCACAGCACTTTCAGAAACTTCATAAAAACAACCCAAATCAAGGAGAAATGAGAGATTCATCAATTACAAAACATTGCATTTTTCCGACTCACTGCTAATAAAAAAGCACTCTATAAAAACAAGGCACGCAAATTAACACCAAAATAAAATCAAACAAATCACCATCTTAAAACAACTCTTATCTATCATAACAAAATTCACTAAAACTGATATCACCAAAACTAACGTCAAATCGAGTGAACTGAGAAATTCATAAAGAAATATTGAATTTTTTTCCGACTGAGGCGAAATCACATACTTAATTAAATTAAAACCTGCGACCGAATATAATCTCGAAAACAAAATCAACAACCAGAAATAATTGAGCTACCATTACAATGATCAGGAAATCAGACACCAAAAACAAAAACCAGCATTGCAAGACGAAATAAAGAACTTGCCGATTTGCTCAAAACCCACTATCAAAATTTAAGCCAACCGAACTGAAACAGAAAAAGCATTAGCCAAAGGTTGCAATTAACCGGAAACACTAAAAACTGCCGTCTCAGGAAAGTGAGAAAAAATCAAACAACGCACAAAATTATTTGGAAAAGATCAAAGTTCATTTGTTGACTATCTCTTTTTTTGAACCTAACAAATTTGTTAAAAATGAATGTAAAAACAGCCTTTAAGCAACAATTCGAACAATCAAAAGCAGAAAAAGCAGCATTTAAAAAAAATTCAGTGAGAAAAGCCGCTATATAAGCTAGTTACGCCCAAGTGTATATTCAGAACGTCCATGCACAAGTCAAATCGAGTGAACTGAGAAATTCATAAAGAAATATTGAATTTTTTCCGACTGACTGCTCAGGCGCAAGCACATACTTAAACCGAAACCCGCGACCAAATATAATATCGAAAACAAAATCAACAACCAAAAATAATTGAGCTACCATTACAAAGATAAGGAAATCAGACACCAAAAAAAAACAAGCAACAAAAACTAGCATTTCAAGACGAACTCAAAACTGTACCGATTTGCTCATAACCTATAATCAAAAACTTTAAGCCATTCAACTGTATAAAAAGATGGGATTAACTTAAAAAAACGCAAGAAACTGCCGTTTAAGAACTCAAAAAAAGCACGAAATCAGCTGAAAATAACTAGAAAAGTGTCAAAACATCTATATCAGTAAATTACTCAGAAACTACACTCAGATGACCCAAGAAATTGGGTGGCTCATGGAACCCAAACATGAATGGTTTTCCCATATAACTCTGATAGTCAAAAGAACTTGAAAAACATTTCAAGGAAACACAACTATGGCTAATTTTCCTTACTATATATGTCTGATAGTCAAAAGATTTTGCTACCCCAAGCAACTAAGAATATATTTATAATCAAGCAAAATCAAATGAACTTCACCCTTTCAAAAGTGAGAACATTTTATTGATATTTACAGACACTGATAATAGCTACACTTAGCATTTATGAGCGAAAGAAATGCATCTGCGTTGAAATTATTACTAAAAAAAATATTTTTAAAAAAAAATTGAAAGTAAAACTCTCGATTATGAATTAAGAAAAACTAATTAAAACCATGTAGCATTGCAAGTAAAACAAACTAGCTTAAAAATTATAAATCATATCAGAACGTTTAAAGCAATGGTGCTCAATTAGATCGAACTTAAGTAAACTATGATTTTGTTGAACCTAACAAATTTTTGAAAATGAACGGAAGGAACAGCATTTAGGACCAAACCCGAATATTCAGCAATAAAAGCAGCACGAAAAACATAACTTTACAACTCCACTTGTCATAACGAAAACACAGGCTATATGAATTCGTTGAACAGAAAAGCTCATTCAGAAACTTCATGTAATCAAGCCAAGTTAGAGTGACCTGAGATATTCATCATTTACAAAATGTCGCATTTTCAAATCACTGCTAATACAAAAGTACTCCGTAAGAACAAGGCCCGCAAAAAAGAACCCGAAAAATTTACGACACCCGACTGAATCAATAAGAGCTGCAATCGCTTTAACGACTTCCAATTACACGCAAAAAAATTACGACATCCAACCGAATCAAAAATAGCTGCAATTAATCAAAAGTATGCAAAAATTACTCCTTAAGAAAAAGACAGCACGAAATTAACTGAAAAAAAAAACATCTAGCAAAAGTTGAAATATCTAACACTTGTTCAGCCAAATACTGAAAAACGACAATTAGTGGAATCAAAAAATCGGCTAGTCCATTGAACTCAAACATGGCTGAAATTTTATATATATCTCTGATAGTCAAAAGATTTTAATTATTCAAGGCGGATTCAAGACATGTAATCAAGCTAAAACTCAATGAGCAGAGAAACTTCGAGTTTCATAAATAGAAAAACCTTATACAGAGGGGAAGATTAGCAGTGCAAGCTACTGAGCAGAAAATGAGAGGGAAACAACTACGTTAAAAAAATTCAATTTCAGGAAACTGTCGAGAAACACAAATACCAGCATTTTTGTGGTATGTGTTTCTCGACAGTTTCTTGCATCTTTTCCGGAAAAAATTCCAGTTGTATATATAAAGAAAAAGATAAGGTCCGACAGAGACTCCAACGCCAAACTGTAGGGTGCAAGGCAACAGCAAACCTCCAGAACCAATGCAAGATTTTAAGAGAAAAAAATAGGTATAAAGAATAGAACATAGTAACGAAAAGTTGTTTATGGCAAAAAATCTAGTTCCCATTACAAGACACTTGCTTTCGCTAATGTCCAAACTAAGACATTGATAATCAGTTCACAATTTATTGTCCATCAGCGAACAAGAAAAACATCCTATTTGAAAACGTTATTGAAAAATGATTTGAAAAAAAAACTAGAAATCTCAAAACAAAAAACGACGTGCAAGTTAATCTAGCGATGTAAGTAAGACAACCAACTTGAAAAACGCAAAATCAAATTAGAACATTTGAAGTTTTTCTCACAAGGAAAAGCTAAATACTGAATTTCAATGAACCAAAACTTCATGTAATCAAGACAAATCAGAGTAAGCTGCGAGCTTAATCATTTAAAAAACATTGCATTTTTCCGACTGACTGACAAAACGAAAGCTTTCATTAGAAGCCCAGCTAGAAAAATCAACAACCAACGAAGACAGAAAAATCTTGATCAAAACACAACTCTGAGCTACGATTACAAAAATCACTTAATCTGACACCCCAAAACTAACCGTCAACAAAGACTAGCATACCAGGACCTAGTCAAAAGTGTACCAATTTGTAAAAACCCAAAACCAATTCTATGTCTTCCAAATGAAAAAAAAAGTATTTAAGTAAGTACGTAAAAAGAAACTAAGAAGTAAAAAAAAAATAAACTACAAAATATCGCAATATATCAATTGAAAATGATCAACAAAACCCGTGTTAAAAACATATATCCCAGCAAATTATTCAAGAACTACGATCAGAAGACTCAAGAAATCGATTCGTTCATCAAAAACAGAGATGGCTGACTTTTAGTTATATATCACAGGAAAACCGAAAAATTGAAAAGACATGTGATCAAGC